GCGTGAATGTGTTCTTCACATACGGCAGGCGTTGCCTTATGAAAATTTAACTCACAAAGGACGGGAGCAGGTCTACTCACTTTGCAGCTGATCAACCAAGTATCTTTTCTGTGTCGAACCGGAGTTGGGCAACTGAAATATGAGTTTCAGAAAAGAGAAATCTCCAAAAGCATCTCCTAAAAAAATTGTTTTCGTTCAAAAACCCTGAAAAATAAATAAAAGCCTTATATACAAGCCCTGTTCAGACAGGAAAACTCAAAATTGAACAAGCACTGCAAGCAGCAGGAGAAAAAAACAAGCGCGAGTAAGTAAGAGTCGCGATAGGAGCCTCCCTGAAGAAAACCGTCACTCCTGACTTCGTGATGTCGCGACAACAGCTAGTCGCGCTGAAGTTTTGATAAAAAACGGAATTTGTGGCGCGAGTTCGTGGATCAGAGCGCGAGAATAGGGGCTCACGCGCAAATATAGGGAAAAATATGGAACTCACGCAGCGACAGTGGAAGTGACCTCGTGAGTTTCGCGAGTGGGTTGGAAAAATTCCTTTTCATCCTGAGCTTATAGTGACCGCGAAAATCGCGACATTTTCGTGAGTCCAGTAGCGTACATGTCATGAGTTTTTCCGATGACTCACGTCGTGACTTTGCGGTGGGAGTCGACGTAGGAAGAACAGCTCTTACCTTAGAGATTGATTCTTATATAAAAGTCTTATCAAGTAGTTTTGTCAAACTCTTATAGTATTCTTGCAAGGACCTTACAAGATTCTTATATGAGAAATCGCCTAAAAATGACAGGAATCTCATAAGAAAGTGACAGGGATTGATCGAAATCTTGTCACTTTCTTATGGAATTCTTACAGGGTTCTTACAAGGTCCTTACAAGGTTCTTATCTGATTCTTATAAAAGTTATTCTGACTGCCGTCTTGCTCTGATGCATATGTCTCCTACTTGAGTAGAATTCGACTCTATGATCTCCACACCGTCTTCTGTTTATTACCCAAAACTGCTGTTTTTTAACAGTCCACTGATAGAAAAAGAAATATACTCACATATTGCAAAACTAAACTTATATGACACTAGATTCACATAGAAAAGAACAAAAAAAAATTACTTTTTCTTCTTCACGTCTGAGATAGTATTGTGTAAATTTTTGTTTTAAATAGATTAGCAAATACATCATTGGACAGTTAAAGTTTTGTTTTAACAGCCGCTAAAAAAACTGGGCAGAATTAAGCAGATAGTAAGACATAAAGGGGGCTAAAATCCAGATTTCAAAACGCCCGTTCAAAATCTAGTTTTGATCTAAGAGTTCCTTATAGACTAAAAGAACCTAAATTCGTCCTCACCAAAAATAGGGATAACCGAGACGGCCTGAAGGAGAGAGAAAGATTGAATACAGCAGACACTTACTTTTCAATAAATTTATCTTATTTTCGTCCAATTGTTGATCATTAAGTTCATCAATTTCCAGTTTTTTCAGCGTTCTGTTTCCTAGTAGCCTTTTTGTCTTTAGTTCATGACCACTGAATATTGATTTGGAAATGTTTCAAGCGAATTCGATGGGAGTTGCACCAGGAATATCATATAAATTAATATCATTGCATAATTAAAGGAAAAAAAGAGATCAAGTTTAGGTCGGATAACATCGAATAGATCACCAATTCAAGACACTTGACACTCTTTTTGATTTGATACTTGAACTTCAACCTAATAGGAATATATGAAAGTATAAAAAGACAGTTTTTTACTGTGATTACTGCTCAGATCAATCATTTTGAGCGATATTTAAAGGAAAAATGTCCCAGAAGAAAAAATAAGATAAAAAGTAATATATGCGGCGAAAAAAAATCGTTAGAAACGGCACTAAACTTTTTTGCTGAACTCGTTTTCTAACGACGTTAAAATGATAGTTGAAGCGCGTTTGTTTCATATTAAAATGCGTTTTAACGTGTCGTTTCGAAACGCGATGACAAAAAGAAAAAAATTGGAGTTATATCGTTTTAACGTCGTTAGAAAACGCGTTCAACAAAAAAGCCAGAAAACGCTTAATTCAACAATCGTTAGCAAACGCTTTGTCGAAGAACGCGTTATTCTAAAGTTTCGAACTCCAATAAACACGTTTAAGCGACTCTTTTAACGACCTTCCCTCTGTTTTTAGTCCTGAATCATTTCAAAACGCGTTAATTAACGTTTTCATTGTCGTTCACATTCATCGAAAACTGCGTTCTCTAACACGTTGCGCAATTCCGAAAAACGCCTTTTCAAACGAATAGATAAAAGAAAAACACCGTTAAACGACAAAGAAACCGTTGGTTTTGGAACATTTAACGCGTTTTTTGTCAGTTTTTTTACCCCTAGCACACTAATGAATTAATACTTTTTCTTAAATTTCGGAAGGTATCGACTTTTTTTAATTCGATTTATCGATTTTGTGTTGGTTTTTTCTTTCTGGTTTTCATGACGGACTGATTGATGATGAGGAATTTGATTTGTTTTCTTTCGTTTAGCATAAGACTGTGACTGTAGCTGTCTGTGTACTGTTTATTTGTTGTCATTGATGACGATTATCACAGCCAGATGAATCAGACGAGGACGTAGATGAACTATCGGATAAGGAATTACTAGATCAACATTAAATTCTTGACGGCTGTTGCAGAGGTAGTACTGGAGCTTGGGTGGAAGGTAGTCAGGCTTGTGGTAATAGAACGGTTCTCCATCGTTTGTCTCTTGTCTGTTCGGGTGTAATGTTCTGAAATTCAAATAATCAGAAACTCCTGAATGAATCAAATTTAACGTAAGTTTGATAATTATGTGTTAAAATAAATTGAAAAGCTTAAACATTTAACGAAGTAACGCACGTACGATGGCGCTAGTGTGCGGTGAGAGTATCAGCAGTCTCGCTGGTTTCTTCTGGGATACAGATTCTGCTGTATTTGTGTCTGGAGATCATAGAGCCGAATTCAATTCAAGTGAGAGACATACGCATCAATACAAGACGGCAGTCCTCGGAAAAATAGAATAAATTTTATAAGAATCAGATAAGAACCTTGTACGAACCCTGTAAGAATCCCATAAGAAAGTGACAAGAATGTGGACCAATCCCTGTCATTTTCAGGCAATTTCTCATATTTTTCATATGAGAATTGACAAAAATCTTTTGCTTAGAATAGTTCCTCCAGGTCGGCTCCTCACGCATGTTATACAAGCGTCTAGTCATTCTCAATGGACTGGAGAAAATGCATCGGTAAGAACCTCAAATTTAACAAGTGTTGCACGGTCGTAAAATAGCTGTCTTTCGGTAACCATTCGGAGCCAATCCATTGAATTCATATCATAGTTAAAGAATCAGCTCTACATTTTGTGAAAGAGATAAAATTGTTATCTCTCTTGGATCTGGAGCTATTAGTATTTTACGGAAACGCAATGAAACGCTTATATCACATCCATGAAAAGAGGTCTAGACTTGCTGGATTATCAGCACGAGAGCTAAGATCATGGAAAATTAAAAGATCCTGGCTATCACGGTTCTTGAGTTACAGGGGTTGATAGTTGTGTGGAGTACTCTATGTTTATTGTTAGTTCTCTATATGAAAGGTATAATGTCAACTGGTACCTCGACTGAAATATCGACAAAAGGTATGCTCGGATACTATTCCATCGCAAAGTTATGCTTTCTTTATGATATATGATGCTTAGATACCCTTTATGGAAGTGTTAAGGCTAGTGAGCAAAGCAGTGATGAGGATAATATGCTAACACTGTTCAATGCTTTTGACCAGATTATTTTACCGGGTTATGTTAAATCAGTTTCGATCAGTTTCTATTCTGCACCATCATCTACTGGCACAACTAGACTTTACGTCTATGTTATATCTCCCACTTCAAGAACTAGTGGATTCTGCATTACTGCTAAATATACAGTTCCTCATGGTACTATCACTGATCAAGTCGTTACTCCTCAAACATTTTTGGTACCCGCTTATTTGTTGAATGTAACAACTGGTCAATATGTTGGAGTTGGATTTGGACCAAATTCTGGAAGCTCCTATCTGGTCTATCGACATCTTTTCTACACTGGGTTGTATTCATTACCAGTCAGTACCACTGATATAGTTACATTCATGGACGATATTTATGGTGGTTCAGCCTTTACTTTTATCGTTACATCATTAGCTAACGCAACGCCAACAGGTAACCATTTTCCTTCGATAGTTCTGCCTTCAATTCAAAATCATTTTTTAGTTAATTCATCTACTGGGAATATTACGACATATGGTGTTTCATCCTACACAACAAGGGATGACAAAGATCAGGATTACATAGCGTTTAACTATATCGATCGTTGTGAAGTAACTGGCTATGTTCAAAATGTTTCATTTTATTTTTGTATTGCTCCAACTGGTCGAAACCAATCAAAGATTGTTCTCTATTTGATTGATGATAATTATCCGATTGATGGTTATCCATGGATGTTCAACATCACTTCACCATATCAAATATCCGTGAATTTGATAGAGAATAAAACAGGTCTACAACAGTTTCAAATAGCACCATATGCTCTGAATATTACTGCAGGACAATGGTTAGCTGTTTCATTCAGTGGAGACACCAGTGGTAGTACATGTAGGAGTGAAAGAAATGTTTATGGGATAACACTGGAAGATTATCAGGCATCAGAAAATCCATATAACAATGAGAATGAATTAGCAGGTGGAATGGCATTTAGTTTTACAGTTGTTTCCATATTAGCAGGTAAGCACTTACATATATATCCCAAGCAAAAAAATGCCTTTGAGATTATCTAGCTATAAAAATATGTTATCGGGCAATATCGGCTTGTGGTAGCTAGCTATCCGTACCACTTTTATTGAGTTAGCTAGCTATATCGAGTATGATAGCTAGCGACTAGATATCGTACCCGATATATCGGGTTGACGA